AAAAAAAGAAAATGCACCTAACTCTTCCCATCTCTAAACTTTCTGTCCTCGTGTTCCATCTCTTTCTCTAGCTCCTCTCTCGGGTTATCTTTCTCCCCAGAGCTAAGGAGAAAGAACTATGACCACATTTCAAAGACAGCACACACAACTGCACTAAGGCTGGAAGAAGTGTGGGGCCTTGGAAATGGATGGTAGCCTCCAAGTGCTTTGGAAACACCAATGGGGAAGGCCTTGTAACTGATGTTTCTTCCTTCTAGCTTACAGAGGTTTTATGGAGTGTGGCTTGGGAATGGGGAGCTCTACTGGCTTAGAAGGTTATGGGATGTGCTGGTAACTGCAAGGTTAGTGGTTTGAACCCAGCAATGTTTCTATGGAAGAAAAATAAGACTTACAGCCTCAGAAGCCTTTGGAAGCAGTTCTACTCTGCCCGGTAGGGTTGCTGAGTGTCAGAATCACCGTGGAAGCAGTGGGTACATTTGGGACTTAGTAGGGACCAAAGCACTTTGAAAGTTGTGGCAGGACTGAAAAAAGTTAACGATCTACACCAAAGGGGGAAAAGTAACTCCTTCTAGACAAATAGGTCCTCAAATGCCACTCCAAGTGGTAGAATTATAAGGAACATAAAATGGAGGTAAACAGATGGGATCTTGAGTCTGGGATCTCCCATGATTCTCAAAGGGGACTTTAAGCAAGCTTCTGTCAACACATGAGATGTGCTTTTCTTAACTTTTAATAAAAATTTTTTTGCTTTCATATTTTTTATTAGAATGCTTTAGCAAATAGATGTTTTGAATTTTAAAAACATTCAACTCTGTGTGTGTGTGTGTGTGTGTGTGTGTGTGTGTGTGTGTGTGTGTGTGTGTGTGATCATTTATCCGCAAATGAGAAGGTCAGCAGTTCGAACCGGCCAGTCTCTCTGCAGCATCAAGATCAAGCTGCCTGCTCCAGGAAAGATTTCATGTCTCAGAAACCCAACGGAGCAGTTCTCTGTCTTACTGGGTTGCTATGAATTGGAATCAATTCAATGGCAGTGAGTTTGGCTTGGTGGTTGATTTTTGTTTACTATAAACAGGGATGACTCTGGCCCTTGGCAGTAAATAGGACAAATACCGTCCTGCCCTCAGGAACTCACAACTAGAAGCAGTGGAGAGTGAGTAATCCTCTAAACCAGGAGTGGATCACAGTTTTTTTTTGAAGAGACGGGATATTAAATGCTTTTGTCTTTATGGCCCATAGGGGTACCTGTTGCAACTACTCAGCTGCACTGTTTTAGTGTAAAGGCACCGCAGACCATGCGGAAATGAATGGCTCTACCTGTCTCGGGTTCAAACTGTGTTTACAAAAGCAAGTGCACTGGTTCATGATCTGCTATCATAGGTTGCCAACCTTTGCTAGATCTCAGAAGTAGAAGTTGTTCTTTGATTATGATGATGATGATTTTCCTTCGTGGGAGGGAACAGATCTAGAAAACAGAATTCCTACCCCAAGGATGGAGCTGGACTTGGGGAGAGAAGCACTATCGCCAGTATCGGCTCCTATCTTCCAAGGTTTCATGACTGGCAGCAACTGACAATGAAGTAAAGAGAGGTCTTATCCTGAGAACTAAGTTTGCCCTACAGTACAATCTGATTGGATTTGCCCTTAGAGAGCAATTCTTCCATTATTGCAGGCAATTTAGATACACAGAATAACACCTGCTGAAAATATAGATAAGAGATCAGCAAACGTGGCCCAAATAACCGGTGCTCAACCCAGGGTGAAGTAATCAACCAATGAGCTCAGCAAAAACGCCGGCTCGCTCAAACAAGGCAGCTCCTTAGGCCTATAGCTGTCTGAGAAGCACCAGGTGCCGCGTCCCTTCACCACTAGAAATGGACTGTTTTCTCGTATCCCACTGGATGTTCAGCAGAGCATTCGGACAGGAAGCTATGAAATGCACACCTAAGACAAAGAATGCCCTGCGTCTCCCCAATCAGCTATTCCAGCTTCGGATATCTGACCCGTTTTCCCTTTCCCTTCTGTCTATATGCGGTTATCATGCAATTATCCCTGAGAGATGAAGATATTTATTGGGCTGACTTCTCATTTCACCTCTAAATGGGCTTGGGAAACAAGGATGAATATCACATTTCCAATAGCAAGATGGATGGACACGGTGGTTGCAACAATGCTCAAATATATCAACAATTGTGGGGATGGCGCGGGGCCCAGCAGTGTTCAGCTCGGTTGTGTACAGGGTCGCTATGGGTCAGAAAGGACTTCAATGGCACTTATCAACTGCAACAACATAGCTCAGTGATTGAGTGGTAAGGTGGGTGGGAGTGGAGGAGGAGTGTCTAATCCTGATTATGAGTTAGAATTTTCCAACCCACACAGTTTCCCCCATTTCCCACAATTACATATCCCTAGATTTAGCTGAATGTGACAGGCAGAGAGATATCAGCTAAGAAAAGCCCTCAGGGTAGTTTTGATAAGATTAGCTATTCTGATCCCTATTAAAATAGGTTTGAACCCAGCAACAATCGTGAGGGTGGAGCAGGACAAAGCACCACTGTATACCCAAACCAAACTCCATTCATCCACCTGTATACCAAACCAAACTCCATTCATGCGTCTGTATACCAAACCCAAACCATTCATGCGTCTGTATACCCAAACCAAACTCCATTCATCCATCTGTATACCAAACCAAACTCCATTCATCCGTCTGTATACCAAACCAAACTCCATTCATCCGTCTGTATACCAAACCAAACTCCATTCATCCACCTGTATACCAAAACCAAACCATTCATGCGTCTGTATACCAAAACCAAACCATTCATGCGTCTGTATACCAAACCAAACTCCATTCATCCACCTGTATACCAAACCAAACTCCATTCATCCACCTGTATACCAAACCAAACTCCATTCATCCGTCTGTATACCAAACCAAACCATTCATGCGTCTGTATACCAAACCAAACCATTCACGCATCTGTATACCAAAACCAAACTCCATTCATCCACCTGTATACCAAACCAAACCATTCATGCGTCTGTATACCAAAACCAAACTCCATTCATCCACCTGTATACCAAACCAAACTCCATTCATCCGTCTGTATACCAAACCAAACCATTCACGCGTCTGTATACCAAAACCAAACTCCATTCATGCGTCTGTATACCCAAACCAAACTCCATTCATCCATCTGTATACCAAACCAAACCATTCATGCGTCTGTATACCAAAACCAAACTCCATTCATCCACCTGTATACCAAACCAAACCATTCATGCGTCTGTATACCCAAACCAAACTCCATTCATCCGTCTGTATACCAAAACCAAACCATTCATCCGTCTGTATACCAAAACCAAACTCCATTCATCCGTCTGTATACCCAAACCAAACTCCATTCATCCGTCTGTATACCAAACCAAACCATTCATGCGTCTGTATACCCAAACCAAACTCCATTCATCCGTCTGTATACCAAACCAAACCATTCATCTGTCGGTATATTAAACTAAACTCCCAACGCACTGCCATTGAGTTGATGTTGACTCATGGTGACTCACAGGACAGGGTAAAACTGCCCCTGTGAGTTTCCAAGACTCTTACTCCTATGGGAGTAACAAGCCTGTCTTTCTCCAGCTGAACAACTAGTGGTTTTTGAACT